GAGAACAGGAAAGGGAGGGGCGAGCCAACGGAGCTACTTCCCAAACTTGAAGCCGCCGCCGCCACCACCTGCCTTCTTTGCCCCAAAGTTAAAGCCGCCGCCGGCCTTGTTGCCCCCTGGGGCATTGCCCTTGTTGCCAAAGTTGAAGCCGCCCCCGGCCTTGTTGCCCCCTGGGGCGTTGCCCTTGTTGCCAAAGTTGAAGCCCCCCCCGGCCTTGTTCCCCCCTGGGGCTGCATGTGTGTATGCGTGTGTGTAGGCTGCCCCCCCCCCCCCCACCCCCCCGCCAATTCGCGGCGGAAGTGGCAAGGGCCTTTGTCCGCGACGCGCGCACTCGGGAGTGTGCTCGGAACATACGTTGCGTTGTCGGGCGAGAGAGTGGGGCGGGGGGACCAGCAGGAGAGGGACTCACACGAGAGGGGATGATGATGCGACGATGTGGTGATGCTGGTGGCGGACGGGGGATAGATTCTGCACAGTGGTGACAGACAACACGGGAACAGAGGTTTTGAATAGTTGCCGGACGTACAAGGAGGCGCTGGACGAGATCAAGAAGGCCGGCGGCACGTCAGATAACCTAGAACGGCTTGTTCTGGGCTCGTATGTGGCGTCGACGGGAATCGTGGTGAGCGTGGTCATGCTAGCCATCACTATGATCATTGCGGTGTACATGACGTGCTCCGAGACAAAGGACCGCTCGACAGCTGGGCAGGGCTTCTGCATTGTCTCGTCAATCATCCTGGTCATCGTCGCCATTTTCTGGTATATGCACTGCATCCACAACTCGAAACTCAAGACCCGCGACTGGAAGCACCTGTCGTACGGCTACTACGGCATCATTGTCGTCGCCCTCTTCGCCATCGGCTGCATCTTTGATCTCAAGCGCGACTTTGACGCCCAGCGCCCAGCCGGTGAGCCTGTCGACGCACAGGCCGACAACGACGATTACTGGACGGTGTAACCCGCCGCCCGCTCGCCACTCCTGATCTGACCCCGATGCGCAAGCCGCCCCTCGCCCCCCTCACAACCCACAACCCACCGCCTCGCGCTACCACCTTCCCTCCACTACCCCCCCCCCCCCCCCCCCCCCCCCCCCACCTCCCCCAACCAAGTCTCCTCTTGGCGTAACCTGCCGTCTGGGCCATCATGAACAAACACTCCCTATCGTCGGTCGGTCCTGTTCCCCTCCCCGCTCATTTCCGGAATTCTGCGCCTGCCGGCTGTCAGCCAGCCTCCCTGCTCTCTCTCTCTCCCCACCCCCAACCCACTCCTCCCCACCCATACCCATGACAGACGAGTGCTCGCTCTGTCATAAGCCGCTCCTTGCAGAGGAGGAGCCGGTGACTGTAGGCTCTGGAGCACGGCTCCGTATCCTCCACCCGTCGTGCTTTGACTGGCTCAAAGCCGAAAAGCAACGGAGAGCGACGTCGGTCGTCAGCCGAGAGCCGAGCACAACAGGTGCCGCCACAGACGCCTCTGACTCGTCACCTATGCCAAACTCGGCAACCGCATCAAGCTCGTCCGACACAACTACCTCGAGCGCTTGGCAGGCCTCTGACGGTCCGTCGACCGTCACAGCTGGACAAGCGTCGGCAACAGGCGCCGCCGCCCGGGCAACGACCCTCCCGCCGGCTCGGCGCGATGGCTCTGTTACGGCTGGTGCTAGCGAGTTGGAGACTGTAGTGGCAGCGTCGGTCCGCGGCACGTGGTGTGGCAAGAGTGCTGGAGGTGGATACTCGGAGAACACCTTTTCCAACAATCCGCAGTTTGTCCTTCGCCTGCCTCAGTCGAACTCGGTGGAGCCGCTGCCGATCACGCTACGGCTGACCCAGTGTGGGCCGGTGGCTGCCAGTGCACCGCATGCCGTCGGCATCCAGGTCTGCTCTCGTGGTGGCGGATGGGTCTCCAATGTCTCGCAGGACGACTTTCTTCAGATCTCGCTTACCCGGGCGACGGTAGCGAGCCGCAGCTGCAGCCTTCCGCCCCAGACCTACACCCTCGTCCCGCACACGCTCAAGGCCGGCGAGGAGGGTTCGTTCAAGTTGGAGGTCCTTGTCTCGGAGCATCTAGCGGGCGACGTTTGTCTCGAGCCGTGGAGCTCGCCACTGGCTGCCGAGTTTCCGCACGTGGTCGAGGTCGAGTCGGGATGGTTCGGCTCGAGCGCGGGCGGCTCAATCAATGACCTGACATGCTCGCGCAACCCGCAATGGTTTGTGCGGGTGAGTGAGGCAGCCGAAGGCGCTGCTATTGCTCCGGTGGCTGTCGCCCTCGAGCTTGACCAGGGCTCCGTGCCGTCTGCTGAAGTTCGTCTCCGACACATCGGGCTGCACGTGCTTGATCTCAACGGTGGGCGGTTCAACAACTCGGTCCTTCTCAAAAAGGACATTCTCGGCTCGTCAGGCGACTACGCGCGGTTGCGGATGGTGAGCTGGCGCGGGTTCCTCACGCCGCGGAGCGCGGCGTACACAGTTTTGCCGTCGACGTTTGAGCCTAAGGACGAGGCGCCGTTCACGCTCCGGTTCTACTCGTCGGCGCCGATCGAGGTGGTGGCCGCGCCCGAGTACTCGGGCGGACAGGCCGAGTACGGCAACTGCGTCAAGGTGACGTCGGCGTGGGAGGGTATCACCGCCGGTGGGTGCCTTAACTATGAGACGGCACTCAACAACCCGATGTTCTTTGTCTCGTCGGGTTCGGTGACAGGCTACACGCTCGAGCTCACGCTCCGCCAGCTGCCAGGCGTGCTCGAGAGTGAATCTGCCGATGCGCCGCTGCACCACATCGGGCTCTCTGTGGGACGGTCATTTGAGGACATCCGGCGTGGACAAGCGATCGCCGACTCGGGCTCGTTTGTCAACGCTGCGGCGGTCTCGGTCTCGGCTGTGGTGCCGCCGGGTGAAGGCCCGGTCTGCGTTGTGGTGGCGACGTTTAATCCTGGCGAGGAGCGCGCATTCGAGCTTGCGGTCGAGTCGGACGCGCTGCTGCAGGTTGTGCCTTCGGTCCTCGAGTGCGACGCGTCGTACACGGCGGTGACGTCGGCGAGTGCGGCGTGGCGGGCGGACGAGGGGGCCGCGCCGGGTGAAGGGCCGATCTCGTACTTTGACAACCCGCAGTTTGCGCTCTCGCTCACGGAACCGGCGACCGACGTGTTCATCTGCCTGGCGCAGCGACCTGCGCCAGGCCAGCACTACCTCGAGCAGGCAATCATCCTTGCAGACGCCAACGGTGAGCGGCTCATCCACAATGGCTTTGCATGCGTGGCTGACTCGGGTGACTACCTTCCGCACCGCGAGGTGACGCTGGCGGTCAAAGGCCTCGAGCCGCGGGCAACGCCGTTCACCATCATGCCAACCAACATGACGCCTGGCGTGGCCACCGAATTCACACTTGTTGTTCGGTCGTCTGCGCCTGTCGAGCTTGTGCCGCTGCCGCTGCCGTCGGCGACCGAGGTGCGAAGCAAGCTCATTTCTGATTTGACTGCTGAGGAGAAGCAGGTGGCTGCAATGACCAGCATCTCTACCCGGGTTGATGTCCTTGATTCGGTCGACGACCGAGTTGCGCAGCGGGCGCAGTTTGAGCAGCTCGGGCTAACCTCGACGCTCGAGCGTATTTCGTCGGTATTTGAGCTCGACGACGAGATGAAGGCCATGGTGGAAGAGTATAACGACGAAATGGCTGCCGACAACAACGACGTCTCGGCGCGTGAGCACGCCAAAAAGCTCGCAGAGCTCGACCCGCTGTGGTCGGTCAAGCTCGCGCTGCCATACCTGGCCTCAGAGGAACTAGCCTCGCCACGCGAGGACGGGCCGGAGGTTGGCACGCCTGTGGCAACCCGCAACGACGATGGAACGTACACGATGACACTCGACTCGCGAGTCCCGGTCTGGTCGCTGGTGGCGTATGTGCTCGACGCGCTCCCACATCCAGGTGGACTGACGGCAGCGTCGCTCTCACTCTTTGTGCCGACACCGGGCCAGCCTGGAGCTGAGCTTGTGTGCCTCAACGAGCACGACACGCTCTCGATGTATGTGGAGGTATATGTGGCAGAGCTCACGCTGACGCTTGGGGCGCGGATGGTGCCGATCGAGCTTGCGCTGGGCGCCGGCGTGAGCCGGACGCTCGAGCTCCCGGCTGACTTGACGGCGGCAAGTGCGATTGCAGCAGCTGCTAGTACCTTTGGCTTCCGCGCGGTTGAGATGGGTCTCCTCCTTGTCGATGCCGCCGAGGCCGAGGCCACCGCCGACGGCGCTGGAGCCAGTGCGCCAGTGTCGGGCGCGGCGCGGCGGCTGGCGGCGCGGCGCGGGCGGTACACGTCATTTACAGCGACGCAGACGGTGTCGAGCTCGGCCGCCGCCGCAGCAGCGGGTGGTGGCAGTTCGGGCGGGGGCACGGGTGAGGCTGCAGAGACGTGGCTCGAGCCGGATGCGCTGATTGGACAGGCGTGCGAGGCCAAGGCGAGCTTGATGCTTGCGCGGCAGCCGGTATCGATGCACGTGGCCGTCCACTTTTTTGAGATTATCGACGTCCGGGTGGAGGTCTCGTTTGCGGCGCGGGTCCGCGAGCTCAAGTCGCGGGTGATGGCGGCGCCGGAGCTCGCCAACCACATTGTGCCGTCGCTGTTCCGGACGCACGGCCTGTTCGTGGACGGAGCCGACGGCAAGCCGCGGGCGCTCGACTCTGAATTGACGCTTTCTGCGGCCGGGCTGGAGCCGGGTGACAAGCTCTCACTGAGGCTCAAGACCGAGGGCGGGGACGAGGAAAGCAGCGGCGCGAGCAGCGCGGCGTCAGAAGACGCAGACGAGGTTGCTGTGTGGGCCGAGGTGGGGCGGAGTGAGACCAACTGGCGCGAGGAGGTTGTGGATGGCGAGCTTGTGCTGAGCGCGGCGTCGCTCAATCAGCTTGTGCTCAAGCTGACGGATCTCGACGGCGACCTTGCGTTTCAGGAGACGTTCCTACTCACGTACGAGTCGTTTACGGATGCGTCGACGGTGATGGACAAGCTTGTGGAGCGGTTTCGTGTTCCGCCGCAGAGCTCGCTGCCGCAGTACGCGGCGCTGAGTGAGGCGATGTTTGAGAACACTGTGGTCATTCCGATCCGGCACCAGGTGCTCTCGATTGTGATTGGGTGGGCGCAGTACTTTAGCAAGTACATGGCACCGGAGGACAAGGCGCAGCTAGAGACGACGGCGTTTGCGGTGGACCCGAAGCGATCCATGACCTCGTTTGTGGTCAACTGTCTCGGGCTCCATGAACGCGACGCGCAGGCCGAGCAGGCACAGGCTGCGGCCGACAAGGTGCTGCTGCGAGTCAAGGTTGGGGCCAAGTCGAAGGTGCTCTCGTTTGACGGCGGGATGCTTGTGGGCGAGGGCAAGGCGCTGGTGGCGCGCAAGTTTGAGCTTCCGCCCGAGCCTGGCCTCGAAGACTACCAGTTTTCGTCGTACAAGCTCGGCGTGCTCGACGAGAGCATCTACTTTCGCGACGTGGGCCTCACTAATCTTGAAGAGGTGTTTTTCAAGGAGGGTGCGCTTGCGGTGGGCGAGCTTGCGATTCCACCCGAGGAGCAGATCCTGCTGCGGGTGACGCTCGAGTCTGGCTCGTCCAAGGTCATTGCGTTTGGGCGGAACGTGGCTGTTGCAGAGATGATTTCGCTCATTCTCTTCAAGTTTGGGCTTGAAGAGCCGGCCGAGGCGTACGAGCTCTTCTGCGACGAGTACGGGGTGATGGACGGCGAGCAGACACTGCTCTCGTACGCGCTCAAGAACAAGAGCGTGGTGCAGCTGCGGCAAGCCGGGTCGTCGAGCGACGGAGCAAAGTCGAGCGCGAATAGCGCGGCCATCATTTCTGTGGTCTGTGATGACAAGGCGCGGCGGCAGTTTGTGTTTCCAGCGTCGACGACGGTCTCATCTGCGCTCAACCACATCGGGGTCTCGTTTGGGGTCCTCGAGCTCGACAAGTACGTGCTCAAGTGCGTGGCTTACGGCCGGCTGGAGGGTGCGGAGACGATGGGCTCGTACGCGCTCCCGCCACGGTCTGAGGTGTACTTTACGCGGCGAAACTTGACGGACGGGACGTCAGAGACGCTCAACTACACGCTCATCCGGCCGTCTGTGGTGCCGGCGCCGGACAAGGTGCCCAAGCCCAAGGTGCCGAAGCGTGCTGCGCGCAACCTGACGATCTGGGACATTGACGAGAGCGAGGCGGCGCGGCAGCTGACGCTGATGGACCACGCGGCATACGCACTCATCGAGCCGATTGAGCTCCTCAACCAAGCGTGGACGAAGGAAAAGTACGCGTACCGGTGCGCCAACCTGCTCGCGTTTATCCACCGGTTCAACCGCATCTCGTCGTGGGTGGCGCAGACGATTCTCGCCGAGACCAAGGTGCGCAAGCGGGCGCAGGTCATGAAGTGGCATGTCAAGCTCTGTGCCGAGCTCCGCAAGCTCAACAACTTTCACGCGGTGATGGCGGTGCTCGGTGGGCTCTCGAATCCGGCCGTCTCGCGGCTCAAATGGACGAAGGGGCGGCTCGGTCGCGGAACGAACAAGAGCCTCGAGTCCCTCGAGTCGTTGATGTCAATGGAGATGGGGTACACGGCGTACCGGACAGCGCTGCAAAACTCTGAGCGGGCGGTGCCGTACATTGGTGTCTTTCTAGGCGACCTCATCTTTATCGAGGACGGCAACCCGGACCTCATTGATGGCCTTGTTCACTGGTCCAAGTTCCGGATGATGCGCAACGCCATTGCTGAGATCCGTTCGTTCCAGTCCAAGCCGTACGCCTTTGTGCCTGTCGAGCCGCTGCAGCGGTACCTCAACCGCATTCCTCTTGTTGGCGAGAAGGAGCTGTATGCGACGTCGCTCGAGCTTGAGCCGCGCGGCGCAGACCGCAGTGACATCGAGTGATGAATTCGCGAAAAGCGTGTGGGAGCGAGCGAAAAGCGTGTGGGAGCGAGCGAAAAGCGAGCGTGAGCGAGCGTGAACAAGCGCCATCGCGCGCGTCAACAAGCGCTATCGCGCGCGTCAACAAGCGCCATCGCGCGCGTCAACAAGCGCCATCGTAGCCGCGGTGGCTAATCGGCACGAGCCAAGGGCAAGTGTGACGGTGGTTTCATTTCAGATGAAAGAGAGAAAGAGAGTGTGTGTGGCGGCGCCAAGCTAGAGGAGCGACAGAGTGGAGGGGGGTGGGGTGCGAGAGCAGTAGCGAGCGGCGACTTACTTCTTGGCCTTCTTGGCCTTCTTGCCCTTGCCCTTGGCCTTGTCCTTGCCCTTGTCGGACTTGTCCTTGCCCTTGTCCTTGCCCTTCTTGTCCTTGCCCTTGTCGGACTTGTCCTTCTTGGACGCCTTCTTGTCCTTCTTGTCCTTGCCCTTGTCGGACTTGCCCTTCTTGGACGCCTTCTTGTCCTTGCCCTTCTTGGACTTGGACGGCTCCTCGGACTCGTCGGCGGACGAAGCGTCGGCCTTGCCCTTCTTCTTGTCCTTCTTCGAAGCCTTCTTGTCCTTCTTGGACGCCTTCTTGTCGGCCTTCTTGTCCTTCTTGGAAGCCTTCTTGTCCTTGCCCTTCTTGGACTTGGACGGCTCCTCGGACTCATCGGCGGACGAAGCGTCGGCCTTGCCCTTCTTCTTGTCCTTCTTCGAAGCCTTCTTGTCCTTCTTGGACGCCTTCTTGTCGGCCTTCTTGTCCTTCTTGGACGCCTTCTTGTCGGCCTTCTTGTCCTTCTTGGAAGCCTTCTTGTCCTTCTTGGAAGCCTTCTTGTCCTTGCCCTTCTTGGACTTGGACGGCTCCTCGGACTCGTCGGCGGACGAGGCCGCGGCCTTGCCCTTCTTGCCCTTCTTGCCCTTCTTGCTCTTGCCCTTCTTGTCGCCCTTGTGCGACTTGTACTTCTTCGAGTACGGGCCGGTGTAGTCGTCACCGCGGGTCTCGAGCTGCTCGGTGATGTCGTTGAAGAAGTTGAGGATGTGCTTGACGTCCTTGAGCGCCTTGGCAGACTCCCACTTGGCCTGGATGTTCTTGTACGATGCGCCGGCGGGGGCGTCCGAGTCCTCATCGTCGTCGTCGACCTTGCACTCCTTCAGGATCTTCTTGGCCATGCTCTTGGCGGCGTCGGTCTCCTTGTCGGTGAGGGCAAACGACTGGTGGCCGTCCTCGTTGACGGTGCCGGGCGTGTTGTACACCACACGCTTGATGGTCCGGATGACGGCCTCGCAGAGGAGAATGAGCTCGTTCTCCTCAAGCACGCCGTTGCCGTTGCGGTCAAAGACGCGGTAGCAGTACGAGATCTTGCGGCGGATCGGCGTCCGGCCAACGAGCGCAGCCCAGATGGCGTACTCGCGGAAGTCGACCCACTGGTTGTTGGCCTCGTCGAAGATCTGGAACAGACCGTCAACAAAGTCGCCGTCGAGGTCGCACGCCTTCTTCCACACCTTGCGCCACTGCTCAAGGTCCACACCGCCCTCCTTGGCCTGCACCTCCTTGAGGCCGATCTTGACCTCACCGAGGTCCTCGATGGTGACTGATATCATGCCATGGGTGTGAGTGGGGGTGGGTGCGGGTGGGGGGGGAGGGGGGGAGCACCCCACGCCGGTTCAAAAAAATGTCGCCCGAGGCGAGGCCACCAAGCAACAAACGTCATCGAACAATCGAAACGCAACAAACGAACAAAGTTGGGGCCAGGCCGAGAGGGGCGAGGGGGCGCGGGCAGGCGACAGCGACCCGCAGTGGGGACTGCGGGATAGGGAATGGAGGATGGAGAGGAGGTGGGGAGAGGAGGGGGAGAGGGAGAGAATGAAGGTATGGTGGTGGAAGTGGTAGTACAGCAGGCGGCGGGGCGCCGTCCGGCAGCAGCAGCAGCGGGGAGAAGGGGGCGGTGCGGGGGCAGGTTGATCGCCCGTGGGGCGGAGAGGCAGAAAAAAAACGCAGTCGGGAAGCGGGTTGCGGGACGGGGGGGGGCGGGGGTGCGGGGAACGGGGTGAAGGGCGAGAAGGAGAGGGGGTACTGGACGGGAACAGAGGAAGGCATGGATGAGGTAGAGTACGTACACTCGGCGTCGCTGAGGCCGTCGCTCTTGAACTTCTTCGTCATCTTGGTCACCGTGGAGCCCATGGTTGCTGTAGTTTCGTCACGAGAGAATAGTGCGATACCCAGCCCGCCGCAGCAAGGCCTTCTGTCCCTAACGAACCATCGAACAAATGAACGAACGAACGAATGAACGAACGAACAGGCGAATGAACGAGCCAATGATGGCTGGTTGGGAGCCGGACGCTGCTGCTCGGCAGCTGTTGTGGTCAAGCAAGCGGCTGGCTGCCGGGCATGGCACGGGCGGCGATCGCATCAACAACGGGGGGCTGGCCAAGTTGATGCGGCGGCAGCGTGGCTATTGTTGCAAGATAGCAAGACGTATGTGGTGCGAGAGTGCTTTCCGCAGTAGTCTCCACGCCAAACACCATTCTGATCATTCGCACCATGGACTTGTACGCACTGTCCGGCTCGGAGGCGCGGTCGACGTCGTCGCCGGTAGGGTCGGCGGCAGCCGGGGCGGCGGGAGCGACGACAGCGAGACGGCGACGGGTTGCCCGGCACGGAGAGCGGGAGTACTCGACGCAGACCAGACGCAGCATGGAGGAGGTCGGTGAGCGGGTCGAAGTGGTCCAGGTCGGGACGCTCGAGCCCGACGGGCTGGAGGCCTTTGTTGAGCATGTGGCTGGCCTTGCCGGCAGCCGGCCAAGCCGGTATGTAGCGGACAAGCTGCCGTGGCGGATGCGGGCGGCAGGCGCCCAGGCATCGCTGGAGATGCAGACGGTGGCTAGCGAGGGCGAGGCGAGCTGGAGCAGAGGCCGAGGCGGGACTCTTGCAGGCGCATCGGCCGGTGATGGCGATGATGGCCGGACGGGCGTCCTCCGCTACGTGTCGGGATACCGGGTGCCGGTGGAGAGCGGGCCGCTGAGCAAGGTCATGGTGCGCGCGGTGTGCAATGCGCCGGCTGCGGGTGATGTCGATGGCGTGCTGGCTGCACTGGGCGCCACGCGCGGCGATGCCGGAACCCGGTCCGGCTGGCTCTTCGGCTTTCCCCGCCCCGACGCCGGGCTGTACATCACTCGCTGGGCGCCAGCTGAGGGCGGTGAGAGTGAGATCGAGAGCGGTGCAAGTACAGGAGCTGGATTGGGTGCGGGCTCTGCGCCGTGGTTTGTCGAGATTGTCGTCTCCCTCCCGGATGTGCCCAAGGGTGCGTCGCCGGCCGAAGTCGCCAGCTTTGAAGCCGCGCTGGTTGACGCAGCCGAATATGTCGACTCGCTTGCCGACGCACTGGTTCCGTTTATCGACATGACCTCACTCGATCCGCGGCTGGTGCCGACTCTGCCCAAGTAAAGGCCTAGGCCTCAGACTCGGCCTCGGCGTCGACGGCGTCCTGGATGGCACGGAGGAAAGACTCGGCCGAGAGGCCGAGGCTCTGCGACGGCTGCATGCCAAACTGGACGAGGATGGTGGCGGCCTCGCCCTGCGCGATGGCCGCGGCGACGCGGCCGATGGCCTGGCGGAGAAAGGGAGTGCGAATGATGGTGCGGACCTCGTGCGGGGTCTGCAGACCTTCGGGCATGTACTCGGCGAGGGCAGCAAAGTCATCGTCGTCGAGCGCGTCGAGAACGCCAGACGGGGTCACGATCTCATCGAGGCCAAGGCCCACAAGCATCCGCCGGAGCTGGGCCTGCGACGGCGCCGCATCTCCCGCGCCACCGCCTCCGCTGCCGCCCATCCCGGCCATCACCTGCGACATCATCGACGAGAACATCTCCGACGAGACCGGGAGCGTCGAGCCGGCGGCGGCAGGTTCGGCGTGAGCCGGCGGCGAGGCCGGTGCTGCCGCCGGAACAGGATTGTCCTCGGCCGGAGCCGGAGCGGCTGCGGCCGATGCGGCCGCGCGCTCGCGCTCCAGGGCCTCCAGCCGCGACGCCTCGAGCGCCTGCTGGAGCATGGCGTCCTCATCCATGGCCATGCCGCCCGGGAAGGCCTGTGGTGCGGACGCGCCAGAGCCTGGCGCGCCGGAGCCGGAGCCAGGTGCGCCAGACATGCCACCATTGGCAGCCATCAGCCGCTCGCGCAGCATGTCGGGCGTGGTCCCGAGCTGGCCGGCAAGCGCCTCGAGAACAGCCTCGGCGCGGGCATCGCCCGGCGCCGAGAGCGAGGCAGCGGCGTCGCGGGCCGCCGCGGCGGCAGCCGGATCGTTCATGTACGTGTTAAACTTGGCCACAATGTCGGCGAGGCGGGCGTCGTGGGCGGCGGTCGACCCGTCGGGCGCAACTGGCTCCTGCGACCAGAACAGATGGGTCCTGCCCGAGCCCTTGAGGCGGAGAACGTAGACGCGGCCGGTGGTGCATGCAGCCAGCGGGCCCTCGAGCTCGGCGTCACCAGGAAAGACAACCACATCCAGAAGACTTTCCCCAGCAGGGCGCGAGAGGTGTGCCACATGGACCAGTGAGTCCTCGTCCAGCCGGAGAACAAGCCGCCCGCGCCCCGGCTGGGCCGTCACCGTCGTGCCGGACACCGTCATGGCGCCGGCCTTGAACGAGACCACCGCGTCGCTCGGTCCGCCGTCGCCTCCATTGCTCTCCGCTGCAGCCGCGCCGGCCTCGAACAGGTTCACCCGTGGCTTGCTGGCCATGTCGTCGGGTGA